ACTACTGCAAAATAGTTCTTTCTCAAAGGCCAATGGGTATTTTTAACCTGCAGCGCCACCTGGTGCCTATAGGGAGAATTCTGGTACTCATTCTTCCAAGTTGCAGATGTACACTCACGGTTCAAAGAGCCAGATTAAAACCATTCCAAATATGAGATACTTTCTATTTAAAAGTACAGATAACACACTCTATTTAAAAATGTGTCACAATTTGAAAGACTACTTAGCTTAAATGATGCCTATCTTATAAGGTCCAGCTCCAAACACATACCTTCCTCTAGTAAGCCTTCCTAAAATTATTCCACATTAGCTTTTCCCTAAATGACCTATTTAGAGAACAGTTTAGACAGAGTGAGGTGAAGTGACTTGTTTTCTAAGTCACAGAGGTAGTGAGGCACATGGAAGGATTTCAATGTTCACACCCATTCTTTCTTTGTAGAGAGGGGGAACAGACAGCGTCACAACAGGACATGCTTCCAGACAGGATACGCTCACTGGGTCCTCACAGTGGGGTCAAGATGCTCAATGGCACTGTGCTTTTTTGGAAAGTAAAATGGTACCATTGTGGTAGATGGCCTGAAAGGAAAGCTTCTGTAAACCATGGCTCTGGGTATCAGAGCTGCCCAGTCCAGCTGGGGACCTCCTGTGGGGGACAAATGCAAGGCAGACAATGTATATGGTAGACAAAACTGCTGGGGTCCCTTCTGGCCCAGTCCACAGAGGTCAAGGGCTTCCCTTCAACATCCCTCGAAGAGGAAGAAATCAGGTGTGAGACAAAGATACTGGAGCTGTACTGAAAGGTGCAAAGTCACAGAGTAAAGGGACACAGCACTTGTGTGGCTGGCTCTGAATTGTTTGATATTCTTTCTCCAGCTGTGAACAGGGTGTAGAATAGAAACACTAGGAAGGGCTAATCTCTGGCCCAGCAGTACTTCAAATTAAGTCAGAGCCTGCTGATGGAGGCAAGTGTATGTGGTACCGTCAGAAGCATCTGACCCAGAGACCAGTCTGGGGAAAAGCAAAGACTAGATGGGACTAAGAGTCTGGAACCTAGGTACTGTTTTGTGAGTGAGTTTGCACACAAGAGAGGCAGGAGTGTGAGTGGAAGGGTGTATCAATTTCCCCACCTGCAAAATGTGAACATGCATGCCTATCTTACAGAACTGCACATCAGTGTGTACAGTAAGTAGGTGCATCTGCTATAGTGAGTATGTAATAATGTCAGCTCCTTCCTGCTGTAATTGCTTGTATCCTTTTGGGGTCAGGCCTTCAGTTTCTCTTAATAACTACTGTCACAAAGGCCTCTTGGGTTGTAACATGCACGCACCCACTGAGAAAGAAAACTTGAGTGGAGTTCTACCCCAGTAACACCTACAACTCTGAAGTGGCTTAAGAGGACAGTAGGAGAAGGAGTGTTCGTATCAGCCATTGCCAATTGTCCTTAGGAGCAAGGCTATCCCACTGGGTAGCCTACACTCTCTAGTAGTACCATGCTCTGTCACCACCTTCTGGACTTTCTTGGGAGATGGTGCGTTGAACAACACCTTTCCTGAGAGGACTCCATGGCCTAACATAAGCTTTAGAATTGCATTTAATATTGAATTTGCAGGTTTACTGCTGTTGGATTTCTTCAACCCACATGTTGGTTTCTTCTTTTTGCTAAACTCACTTACTTTATGTATTGTTTACTCTCTTCTACTTCCTACCTCACTGAATTTTTTTGTTCCTACTGTGTCAGGCAATTCCATCTCCATATATCCCGGACACATAGACACACACTCATTTTCTTTCTCTCACACACACTTTAAGAAATCTAGACAAAGACGCCAGGAATGTGTCTGCGCCCTTTTGACATAGGGTCTGATGCCATCTTCAGGGCCACAGGGAGGGCAGAGTCATGGACATGGCATTTATGTACTCTGATGCTGGCCTGGCTCCTATTTTTATCGTGGCATGGCTCTGGGCATCTAGGCAGGGAGCTAGTCCAGCTTCTTCTCATTCCTTTACTCTCTACATCAGGGCTCCAAAATAATTTTACCCCTTACCTTGGCTGGGTCTTCCTGCCCCAAGCCTTCTACCATCAATGGGGCACAGTGCATCTCTCCTTCCCTCAAACCCAGACTAGCTCTGAGTGCTTTCCCAGTTTCCTAAATCCAGTTCTGATGCATACAGAGAACTGCTATATTTCTTATGTTTTCAGACACGAGAAGTTTGCACACGCTGGCTTCATTCGTTCCTTGGCATAGACTGCTATCCTCACTCCCCTTTCCTCCCAAATAAGGAGTTCTCCTCGTTACATAATTGGACGTTCCCAGCACAGAAGCTGACATGAGGTCAGCCACGCATGCGTGCAAGACTTGCCTTTGACTTAACGATGCCTTTTTTGGGCAACTAACTTCTCTTGAGCTTCCCTCCCCCACTCCCTCCACACCATCAACAATCAAGGGAGATTTATAAGCCTGGCACAGATTAGAACTCCTCCGAAGTTGGCTTAGAAGGAGGGGTCATGGGGTTGGATTTACTCTGTCTCCCCTGCCCCGCCTTTGCAGGCTACAGAGAGTGCGCTTACAACTTGGCAGGAGTCCCTGGAGTCCAAGGCAGTTCTGTATATAGGTCTTTTAAGGGAGCAGGGAGAGTAAAGGAAGCTGGAAGCAGAAGAAGGAAGCGTGAAGCATGTCTGCTTGGAGACACCGAGCTGGAGGGTATAATGTAAGGACGTCTTAAGAGGGCACGGCACCTACATCTAGGTGGCTGTGCTATCCTGGATACCCAGACTGCACAGCGGTCAGGACAAGTAAAGCTGCAACAGCAGCTATCTGTGGCCAGCTTCGTAAAGCACATAAAGGACAGGAACTCAAGTGCCCTGAGGTTTCAGATGGAAATGTGGGAGTCGGTCATGGGGACACTAGGACCTCACACATCATCCCTTCTAGTGGAGTCAGGGTGGGCATGCTGGGTGTGTGTGCTGCTGCTCCAGGAGGGATCCAATTCCCAGCCTCTTTGCTTACCACACAAACACCTTTTAAAAAATAAAGACCCTGACCTATCCAGGGAAGAGATGGAGGTTCATGTCAGAGGTTCTCCTTGCTCCATGTAGACATGGACATCCAGTTTGGAGTCTATGAATACCTGCTAATCTCTCCCAATGGAATGTTCCCCACTCTGAGCAGTGATTTTTGTGGTGATTCTTGACCCTTGAAACCATGGGCAAAGGTCTTATCCTGAAAGTGAAGAAAATCACTATAGATTAAAAGTGGAAAAAAATGTGTTTTAGATTCTGCATATGTTATTTATGAACTTTAGGGTTTAATAACTCAAATTCCTTACAAGTCATAGATTTCTCATGTTAGAGGTGGGGGGATTATAATACCTCTTTCACAGAGCTCTTTAAAGGGATTAAACTTTAAAATATTCTCAAAGTGACATATATAATGTCTGAGTGAATTAATATCTCAATAGACATTTGCTGCATAGTAACTACACTTAAGCCAAGAAGATTATACATTGTGATACTTGGATCCTGAAGTGAGCCTGTTTTCTTCATGTTACCACACACTGGAGACTTGTTGATGGAAGACTATGGGCCATAAGGGGTCAGGTCCCTAAAGTTTTGGGGTGGAGGAAAATGTTCCATTCTTCAAAGGCCACAAGCTCTGCTCCCTTCTGCTTATTAAGAAAGCATCTAAAATATTACAAAACTAGAATGAATTCTGAGAAACAAATCAAAAACACTACAAAAAGATGGGGAAATGATTTATAGGCAATGAGAGGTCCTTGTGGCCCTTGAACTACAGTGAAGGAGCAATTTCTCAATCTTAGCACTAGAGGCATTTTGGGAAGAGTATGTCATTGCTGTGTGTGCACTGGGTAGGGGAAGGAAGGAGTGCAGTTGGGGTGCTCTGTGTAACACAGATGGAAAGCAGCACCAATGATCTTCACCCCCAGATGCCTGCCAGGAGCTGTTTCTACCCTCCACCCCTACTGTGACAACCAAAACTTCTCCAACGTTGCTAAATGTCCCTGGGAACAAAAGAACCCCATTGAGAATCACTGCTTTGGGGAAAATGGATAATCTACATAATATACTATCAGAAGAATCACTGTCAAGGAGAACGAGCGGAGAAGAGGATTCCTCAATATCAGGGGAAGTGAGAGAGGATGCCATTACAGGCTCCACAGAACAAATGAAATCTGGTCTTCAGTATTTGAAAAATGTTTATTACTATGTCAAACATGAGGGAATGGGAAAGACCATAACAATGGATAAGAAATCAGCCACAGGAACCCCCACATTCATAAATTTTTCAAGCCACTTGTGAAGCCCAGGTAAAGCTAAGATATAAGTCTGAGTTTCTCTCTCTGTTTTACCATCCTGTAAGCACTATGTCCTAGTAAGAGAAATGCTCAGCACACAAAGGTAAAAAACAGAACATATGTATGATGACAAGGATTCATACCATACAACAGATTACAGACAAGTCAGAAACCATAAGCCACAGAGAGACAGAAGACACAGGAGAGAAGTGGAGAATTGAAGTCTGGGCTCATTCTTGGTCAAATGACTCCAAAGGGAAGTACTTTGATTACTTTTCTTAATGTGATGCCAACGCATGCTTGGTGACTGAGATCGCCGCTAATGTATTTAAATTGACTGCATTTTGGTGCCCTGTGTGAGGAATCTCTAATATGTTAAACTCATGTGCTAAAACAGGCAGACTGAGTTAAAGTAATCTAAGAACACAGGCAATGTCTGTAACTCAGTGTGCTTGATATGTCAGAAATCTTAGAGAACTGGATATATTCAAACTTTGGTCAAGGTGGTTACTAAAGGGTTTCTATGGGGCCTCTTCCCCACACCCCTGTATTAAGGAATCTACCTTCTGCTGAGTTCATGAGTTCCTTATATGTGATATTACACCTTCCTAGTATAGAAATGAGTTTCATGTCCAATTTCTTAGCAAATTGAGGCTCTAATGTGGCAGAGGGCTCAGCAATCTTACCTTTGAACTAGAGTTCCAAAAATAAGGGAGAACAACTTCTTCATGCCTTCAGTACACAGCCATTCCCACTGCTCCATTAACAGCAGCAGGATCAGATCGAAGGCCGTGTCGGCTAACTTTGTCTCTGCTCCTGCGGGACAAAGGTATCACAAGTAACCCTTCCTCTGTCAGAGCTTCTCCAGCTTCATGCCATCCTCTTAGAGTTTTGAGATCCCTCTGCACAATATAAATCAGGAAACACTTGTATCTAGAACACTGAGTTATATGCTCTGTATGGTTTTATAAACTTTTTATGTTCTGATGTTCTGTCTCTTCTCCAAAGTTTTTTTTATCTTATTAACAAGTTTTACACTTAATTATTTTACTTATCTGGCATCAGTTTTCCCCTTCCCATCTTTCTCCAAGACACTGACTCCATTCTACTCTGAATAGGGGCTCACAACTGGTGACTAATTGGAATTGGCAAGGCCTTGTCCCTTCCACTCGCCCCACAGCGAATGATGGAAAGGAGTGGGCAGATCAGGGAAAAGAGCTCAGCTTCATTCTCCCGCAGGAAACCCATCTCCACTCCACAGAGCTGTGGGGCTGGGTTCAGAGGCTTTGGCCTGATTCTGAGATAACATGTGGTTCTAGAAAGAGTACCACACCTCTGGTAAAATGTCATGACATTTACCAATTTTTTTCCTATTTGGAAGACGTGAGGGGCCACAGATGAGCTCATGTTTATTCTCTGCTGGAGAGATCTGAACATCTGTTTACTGGACAGGAGCATCTCTTCTCTAAACCTGTGCTGGGCTCCCGCGTCATGCTGGCGTTCCACGATGATTAGGGGAATCCTGGTACTTCTGCTGTGATCAATCTTAACACTGTTATTTTCAATGCTCACTCTGCTAGTCTACGCTCACTGGGGATCTCTGAAACAGCCTGCGCCAGCTTTCCTCTTCCAAGGGTGTTCCAGAATACAAATCACTTTGGATTTGGGCAGATCTGTTAGAACTGAATCTCACTTCTTTTTAAACTCTGCCCAGTACCTATTTTTCTTTTTCTGTGCTGTATTTCAAGGGGGTGTGGGAAATGATGAGTTGTTTTGCATTCATTTGCTCAAAGGTGGGCTATTCCTCCTTCAGAAAACAGCCTCCTCACTGCCATCATCTCCTCGGGATGAGCATTTGTCTGCAGCTGCCACCCTGTGGTTACATCTAGTCATAGCAGTAAAAATAAAGCAAACAAGGAACCACAAGGTCCTCTTGAAGAACAGATAAGCTCTCTTAACACACAAGCACTAATAATCAAGACAATGCCTCACAAACATGCCTGAAGACCAATCTGACTTAGGCAATTCCTCAGTCATGGAGGTTTTCCTCTCAGATGACTCTAGCCTGCCTCCTGCTGACAATTACAGTTGCACAGGACAATAGTAAGTCCCATCTGTCACATTCTTAAATTGAGGTCCACACAGTAGAAGCCAGGTAAGTTGTTCTTGGGCACCTGGGAGTAAATATGAAATTAGTTCTTTCATCCCCTTCTGATCTCAAGATTTTGTGATCATCTAGTCTTTGAAGGGGTCTTTGTTTTAGTTAATCAATATAACTTTCTTCTTTTTAAGTTTTATGTCACAAACATACTAAAAGCCAGGTTCTGATTCTTCCTCTGTAGGGTATGTTTGATCTTCTCCTGGGAAGAAAATGCTCTTCTCTCTTTTTCCCTGGGGAACTAGAAAGCTTCGCCTGCAATGGCAGGAAGTAAAGTAGGACCAGATCTGAGGAAAGATGAATTCTATGGGTGATTCTGTGGTCTACCATGTGGAGACACATGCTATTTGATATTTAGGCATCACTGATCCATGTACAAAGGCAAAACTGACAGAGAGCTTATGACAGTCCCTCGGTACGGAGGGCATAGAGTAAGAATACAACCTAAACTAAACATCCAGAATGATGTTAAGGAACCCCAAAAGGGACAGAGAGAAAGACAGAGAGGGAGAGAAAGAAACATCAGGAAATTGGTACCACAGACACTGAGGGAGGGAGATGTCTAGGAGACAGTAACCCCTGTGTCAAAAACAACACACTGATTCTATGCATATATTATGCATGTAGATTTTTCCCTGCTGCTTGACTGGCTCTGAGGACTATGTTTATCTTACCCACCTCTGGCCCCAGCACCTCTAATTCTGGAGGAGTTCAAAACATGGATCTCTTGGCAAAGCACAAGAGAAATGAGAATTACAAAGTGCACCTTCCCTAAGTCCCAGTGGACTTCTCCCTGGATCTTCTTTGAAAAAGCAAAGGTCTTGTCACTCACCTGGGTCACTGTTGTTAGGTTCTTGGGCTACGACAGCTGTGTCCCGCGAACAGTTATCCACACATTCTTTGGGGACTTGTTGGGGATCTTTATCTGGGACTTCTGCTGCCTGCATTTCCAGTAACTTTGTCTGTTTTTCAATGAAGGATTCCATCGCAGACAGGATCTCTGACTTCTGGAGAAACAGTCAGTGGCAAAGATCACCAAGAATGCAGGAGGTAGAATAAATGTAGCATCCAGGTTTCCTATCTTCCGCTTGCAAAAGTACAATGGGCACAGAGCCCACTAACCCCAGGCCACTTCAGGAAAGTTCTCACTCCTTACCCAAGTAGCAAGTAAAACTAGCCTGCTCTAGGACAACCACTTTTGTGCACTGCTGGGTCATCTGTTCCCATCTAGAAACTGATTTTCCTTTTTCTTCTCTTCCTATCACTATTATCGCAAAACCATTGCCGCAGGAAGCCAACTTACCAACTCAGAACTGATAGGATTCTAAAGTACTCAGAGGAAATGAGTACTGTTAGCATAACATTTCAAGACCCAGATATCAGCCAAGTCCTTGACCAGGGCACTTGATTCTTATCTGATGTCAGAGAAGCCTCCTGCATACTTATCTGCAGGATCAAAACCTCAATTGTGATTCTAGCAGTTCTCTTGGTTTGCTCCTACCTCCTGGAAACAGTAGAGAATACTGTCCTCCTCCTCGTCTATACTCAGTGCAGGAGCAATTTTACTGGAGGAGAACCTCAGTCTGGACCTGACACAGAGACAAAGGTAGAATGAGATGCAAGTCAAGATCATAGTCCCTATAAAAGAGTCTGGTAAGTATCCACAATATATTAAAGCTGAAGCACCCATGCTTACTCCAGAGGGACTTAGTGTTCTCACAACTACCTGGAAGATGGGACCCCGAAATCCCTCAAACAACATATACCTGGTAATTCTTCAAACAGTGTCATATTTATGCTATTTCTATAGTGCATTTATGAAAGGATTTTTGTCAAGTAAAATAGTGCTTAGTCTGTCATGGCTACATTCCCAGAGCCGTGATGACAGGTTTGCATAAGAAATCTGTTGAACAGATTAACAGACAAATATCATAGACTAAGGTTTTTGTTACTGTTTTGTTATCTTGTGGGGACAATCACTTGTTTCCCTTATACTACAAATAAGACTGGACAATCAATTGCAAATGACAACTTCAATAAATAGGGCTCTTAAACACAGGCATCGTGGTTATTGCTTCATATATGAGCATAGCTGGAAGGCTAAGTATTGAGACTACAGGGATGACTAGAGATTAAGAGCACCTATTGTTCTTTCAGTCCCCATATCAGGTAGCTCATAGCTGCCTATAACTCCAATTCTGGGGGATTCGATATCCTTTTCTGATCTCTGTGGGTACTAGCACATATGCGCACACACACATACACACACACACACACACACACACACACACATGTGCACGCACACAAATAAAAATAAATAGATCTTTTTATTTTAAAGCCTGATGTAAAGATAGTATTGCTGGCTCTTAATATGAACATAAAGATGAAAATAACCAGTCAGGTACATATTCATTTAAATTCCCCCCCCCCCTTTCTCTCACATGAACCCAATTCACACAATGTTTTCAGTTAGAGTTAGGGTGCATGTGCTGTTCTTGCCCCTCCACATGCTGGCATGGAGTGCTTCCAAGGACCAGCTGGGACATTAATGCGGCAAGAGCAGCAGAAGTACACCCGTTACTAAAATACACCCTGCAGGATTCCATTCTAGTCCTTTCCTGATTACTGCTAGAGTAAGTAGTCTCTGAGCCAAAGTTTCCAGAAATGATGGCAAACAAATCAATTGTAAGTCTTAATTTAATTCTTCCTAGGAAAGAAATACCTCAATTTCTACAAGAAGAAGAGTATAAGAGTATTCTGTCTTTAGTTTTCCCTTCTAGTCAACAACTCCCAGTGAGTGGGCCCAGGGTTCCCTGGACGGGAGCAAACACTCAGCAGTACTGCCTACTCAGACTCTCTGGGTAAAGCGCTGTGGAACCCAGCCTTTGGCCTGGCTAAGAAGCTGATGGGTACCATGCACCTCCTCTCTTCTAGGGTTTGAGAATGGAATGGGGCTTTGACACCTGAGGACAGGGGCCCTGGACCACTGAAGGGCTTCTCACTTGTTAGCCTTCTTGCCTTCTGTCTGGGGCTTGCTTTCATTCTCGGCTTCACTCAGCTCCTCTGTGGGGCTCTGGGGTTCAGAGCGAGGAAATGCTGTCTTCAAGGTGTCCACAATCGCACTCACCACCATCTGCAGGGTTGGAGGTACAGGGTCAGTATGACTATGCACATTCCTGACGGGCAGTGAAGGAGAACAGAGCAGTTATCTCTCTGTGCTTTACACCAAAGGCTGAAGGACGCAGCCATCCGCAGAGCCTTTGAGAAAACTGGACAAGAGCCAGGGACAAGAATTCTTTTCTCTCTGTCTAGAACAATCTTTTCTTCAGAGTAAGACAAACAATACCACAGACAAGAAGCCAAATACAAAACAGGGAGAAATAAAAACCCAAGCAAGTTCTTCACACTAGAGAAAACTTTTAGTTAATATTTTTCATTTTACATTAAAAGGTGACTCCTACCTTCCAACTGACAATACCATCACCAAAGTGTGGCTCAGTAGAAATTACAAAGGCATGTAAGGGAAAAAATAAAGATTATAAGAAGAAAAGAGAAAATTCAGTGTGGCAGCTTAAATAATATAAACATGTTGCAAAGACTCATAGAGTAATAAGTTGGGTTTATAGTCAGATCAAACAATTCTCTTCTTTAGGTACAGAAAGAATAAAAATCACACAGGCTGGCAGTTAAGGCAGCTGGAATTGCTATAAAGAAAAAACCTATCCGTGAAAAGTAAGAATCATCTACAGTTTTTCAGAGTAAGTTGACATGCATGTATTTGCTATTAAAGGAAGTGTACAAAGGATAACTATCAGGGGAATGGAAGTAAGCAATGGTAATGAATGCCCCACAGGAGCACAGCCTGTACAGCCAAGACACACTGGACAACCAGCAAGACCACAGGGAACACCAGGAAAAACAAACCAGGAAGGGAACAGAGGATGGAATGGAATGAACATAAATAATACAGCTTATAAAACACACCTTGCAGGCTGGGGAGATGGTTCAGTGGGCAAAGTCCTTACTCATGAGAACCCAAGCTCAGACTCCTAAGTACCTATATAAAAACTGGGTGTTATGGTGCATATCTGTAATTCCAGTGCTGCTGGCCTGGAGGCAGACCCCACAGGCTTGCTAGCCAGCCAGTGTAACTAGAAGAGATATTCAGGTTCAGTGAGAAACCTTGTCTCAAATATATATATATAGTGTGTATATTTGTATATATGTATGTAGATATGTAGATATGTAGATATGTAGATAGATAGATAGATAGATAGATAGATAGATAGATAGATAGATGATGAAGGAAGAATTTCCATGTCCTCCACACACATGCATGGGTGAATACACTTGTGTGCATATGCATATACATGAAATTCAATTTTCTTTCCTGTCTCAAGATTGTAATTGAGGGGAGGGCCTTTATCTGTGCCTTCTACTTTGGCCTTACTGGAAATTAGCACAGTGCCTTGCTCAAAATTGTCGGTCTGGCTAAATGTGATGGCATTTGTCTGTAATCCAAGCATTTGGGAGGCTAAGGAGGAAGAGTTTGAAACCAATTGGACTATACTGGTAGTTCCAGGTCAGACTAGGGTACAGTGAGATCCTGTCTCAACAAGTCCAAAACAAAGAAACAGACAATAACAAAAACAATTTCCCCATAAGGAAATAAGGAAAGAATCAATGAACACATCTGCTCAGAACTCTCAGGGTTTTATCTACTTGATCCCTTCTAGTTTGGTTCTTCCCCATAATAAAAAATGTTCCCTAATATCTACCACATAAAAATCCAGCCAAAATCAGGAGGCATACCTCCTACAAAGAATCGTTTGCCTATAAAATTGCTGATGATTTCAACTGAGGCTCCAGTATACTGTATTCCCCAAGTATGCTTCCCTACCATCTACACAGGTGCTGAAACGCCCTCTTGAAGAATGTATGGTTCTCTGTACATTTTGTTCTCCAGCAGAGGATCACTACAGCAATCCAAATCCAGATTAATGTCCTGGCTTAGAGCTCTCTGCTGAGTACCCAATAACGTGAATAACTTATCTCCCCAAAGAGAGCCTCCTGCCATCGCCAGAGGTTCACTTCTATCCTCACATGCTTCCACAGAACAAGACTGCAATAACTCCTGGTGGGACATATGCACATAGCGTGAGGGTACTGCCTTCTAACTGCTGCACACCGCGACTCAGCAAGTCAATGATCCAGCCCGTATTAGCAATAGTTCTTGAAAATTTTAGTCCACGTTCTACTGACCCTCTATGCCTCCTCTACCTATGCCCTTCTTATTTTCCCAGCATGGTCTCCAGTCTACTAAACACGTCACACTGCAGACGGGAAGAGTGCTGAGCGCAGTGGCTCTGCGGCTACCTTGTCTATTCTTGGCTTCTTGACAAAGGCGATCCGAGCATCTGTGTTCAGTGCAAGGAACTCCTGCACCTCCTCGCTGTTGGCAATCTCAGGAATGGCACAGAGTTGCTGCAAAAGACAAATATTTCAGAAGAAAGCCCAGACCCCAGATCTCACCACTTTGGGCTGGATGTTTAGGGTCAGAATGTGAGCCAAGTCAGAGGATCAGATGCTGACCTTCAGGAAGGACTCCAGGAGGCTCTTCCGGGCCTCTACTCTGTCACTATCCATGTTTCCAAATGGAAGATCTGGAAAGAGCTTTTTTGGACCCTTAACATCTTCAAAACAAAACAACAAATGCATCTATTTAGCATTCATGCAGAGGTATTCCATATAAAACAAATGGAATCACTAAATATATTTCACTAGGCTTTGTTTCTAGGTTTTTGTTAATTTGGGGACTTCCAACTGCTCCCCCATGGTTGTGATGCAACAATCCACTCTCATTAGTGTGAAGAGAGCACATAATGCAGTGGTTATAAGGCAGGTCCAAATGGCCCAAGTTTAACTTCTGGCTCCAATTCCTGCTATAATAAAGACCCCAGGCAAACCACATGATCTGCAACTGTTGCTTTTCTGTAAGAAGGAATGATAGAATCTACCTCATGGTTACAGGATGATATGAGCTAACACATGTGAAGTATGTAGAAGAGAACCCGACACAGCTCTGAAGCCTGTCCTAGTATTAGCTATGTTACATTCAACCTACCATTTACTTCGGTTATCATTAGCATCTAGAACAATAACAACAGAAACAAAGTAGCCAATTCCTAGCTTATTTGTAGTTAAATTTTATTATATTTTAAATACTTCTCTGTGCCCGGGTGTGTCAAAGTGCACACAAAAGGCTTGGTTGTTAAAGACAGGGATTTCTGGGTTATTTAAGATGGGTAATCCACAAACCTGAAAAAACCACTCAGCTCAAGTGATTCTATGAACATGGGTAGAAATGTGCCTGCTTCTTTTTAAGTGTAAACTACATGGGGACAGTAGAATAAAGCATGTAGCCAAGGACAACCTCAGTCAGGATTCTACTACAGCTGTCCAGCTCTAAACCCCACAGCCTCTCAAGCAAACTTGGGGCAACACACTCTCAATGCTGATTTCTCCCCCACAAACCCACAGGCCACCAAGCATGCAGATCAGAGTGGCCAGATGTGATGTGCAAGCTGGCATTTGGGGCTAGGGGAACTTCTGACTTTTGATAAACTTTCGTAGATCTGGTTTCTCCTCCAGGCGGGTCTGCAGATTCAAGAACTCCCGGTAGCGGCGGTTCACGGTGTGGTAGGCCAGCTGCTGTAGGCCGCTGCTGTTCTCACCGTTAAGTGCTGTCTCATACTGTGGAAGGAACAGAATTATCAATGAAATCAGAGGGGATTGGGAAATTATTCAATGGTCACAGTGGAGCACCAGTAAAGGGAGAAAGTGGCTCCTTTATGTTGCTGAGCCTTCTGCATTTGACCACCACCCTTAGTTGTAACTAACGACCCAAACTCCAAGGTGACCGAATGAGCTGTACTTCCTGGCACCCCTAGCTTGGTCAGAAATACTCTTCACTGTTCCTTCGATTACTTCTGTCCAAAACTTTTCACCCCCAAAGTAGCTATGTAACATTTTTAAATCCTAAAGACATTATAAAACAGAAGCCATAATACCTTCAGAAGGGACCACGGCTAAATTACAGGAGTGACCTCATCAGGAGCAAATCACTTTGCCATCACATCCAGTCACTAACACTCTATACTAGTTTGGGGGAAGAACAAGCAAACCCAAACAACAGATAATCACAAATCATGTCTCTGTCTGAAATGTTTTCTTTCTTTTTTGTTGCCTTGAGCAGATTAATCTTTCTAATTGTTATTCCTGGAGTTGAACTAAAATTCTTTGTCTTAGGTATGTATTAGCTGTATCATGAGACATTCCATGATGACTGGAAGTGTTCTGAGGGCGGGCAGTCTGCTGCCTTCATGTGTCACATGGGAATGACGACACACACAGCACACGCCTAGGAAGGAAGCACCTGAGCAGCATGGAAGCCAAGGCCAGGGGAAGGTTCTGTGACAAAGGGGTTCAGATGCAGAGCTGCTGTGAGCCTGTGCTTGCTCCTAGCAGAAACTGATTATTTTCTGACTGAAATATTATAGGATGGCAAGCGATTTAAAACAACAAAACCAAAAACCATCTCCTTGTTGAAAGTTCTTGAGCTGGTGTTTGAACATTTTGAGAGCTAGAGAGAACGAGAAATCCACTACAGCTGAGGTGAGCAAGGAAGTCTTAGAAGTCAAGTACCGAGAAGAAAAGAACAGACAGAATTCAAGACAGAGCTTCCAAGCTTGGAGCACCTGGGAGCTAGGATGCTTTCTGTGGAATATTCAGCCCTTGGGGTCAACTTGAATTTTCTGGTAATAAGGAAAAACTGTTCTCTGCCATTAGTCCATGAATATGTCATAAGCAGATGATGAAATAGCCAGAATCTAGCATTGCTATGTGAGCACGGGGCATGCCAGAGAGACTCTTAGAATTAGGGAAACAACATGGTAGGTAAATTGTTAAAGTTATGCTGCTGGTTGACAGTCGCCAGTTATTCATGACCAGATGTCTGTGTTTCCAAATGATACCTGTTGTATAAAGACCATGTGAATGATGTCACTGCAATGAATGCAGAGGTGCATCTAATTAGGTTCACCGTCTTAACTTTAAATGTCATGACTTTTAAAATGCCAGGTCATCCTGCAGCTCATTCAGCAGGCCCTGCCCACTTCATTGGCTTGGATTTCCCCAGGAGTGTGTGTCTAGCCCTGTATGGTGGTGGTGCTTGGACACACCAGTACACGGCGGGTGAGCTCCACAGAAATTCCAGAAGGCAGGTAAAGTCAACACAGAGGCTCCTGCTGAGAAACTTTCCTCCTAATTTCTTTCTTTAAAAAATACTAATATCTTTTGCATTTTTATTATAGGAAGGTAGAGCAAATATTTAGAAGGTGGCAGGTTCCTTATTCCTGAGGTATTTAAGCACAGACTTGGGAACGACTATGCAGAGAAGATACAAGGAAAGTTGACTAGAGTCGCAGATGTCCCCTTAAGCCAGGCTGTGGACCAATGTGTTGACTGAAAAGTTTCATTTAAAAAACAAACATGTGGGAATGGAGAAGAACCCTTGCTGCTCTTGCAGAGAACCAGGGTTTGGCTCCCAGCACCCACATGGCAACTTACATTTTGTTTATAACTCCAATTTTAGGGGATCTAGACCCCTCTTCTCGCCTCCACAGGCATCAGGTACACAATGCATTTACATACATGCAGGCAAAATACACACATGAAATAAAAGTCAGTAAATCTTTTTCTTTTAATGTAAAATCTTGGGATGCATTCTTAGAAATTCTCATTCAGAATCTGTCTGCCTATCAGAATCAATTTATTTAAAAAGGAGCCCAGGTGTTTCTGAGGTGAAACCAGGTTGGAGAGCCAATGAAAAATCTGACCTGCAGTACTCTAACACTGAGCTTCTAGGACTGTTTGTACGGCTATGGAGTAAGAGCCTGCGCTGCCTTCCAACTTAGCCACGCGCCAGCCACACATGTGCTTAATCAAACCCAGGCTACTCTCATCTGCCCTTGCAGCCTTCTGTTTACCGACTCGGCTTTCTACAGCCGTTCCCAGAGTGAATGACTACAGCTGTAGTCTTGTTACCTTCACAGTGTACAGCGTGTATGGGTGGAATCCAGTACCACTGTGCTCTCGGGCGGTGATGGTGCCAGTGATTCGAAGGTTCTGGATGACAACTGGGCCATCCGGACTGCTCAGGGGCTCAAAGCTGAAGGTGGCTGAGCTGAGAGGACCAGGGGGAGAGGAGGAAAGTGGAACTGGTGGTAGAGTAGGCTCAAGGGAGCTCACACCACTGGTGAGATCCTTTTCCAAGCATGAAGGTCGTGGAGGGCAGGATTTTTCTGGCTCCTCTAACGAAGTCGTAAGAGAGGTGACATCTCCTTGCTCTACCTCCTTGTCTTCTGTGTCAATCTGGATCTCTGGGCAGTTCAGCATGGAGACCAGTAGGCCCGTGTCTGTTTCTGTTCCTGGAGCTTCCTCCGCTTCTGATCCTTCCATACCTTCAGATCCCTCACCATCCTTAGGCTCCAGAGCCCGGGAATCCTCTAGTGCACACAGAGCATCCTGAATCCTGACAGAGAGGAAGTTGCCTGGGGTCATTAGCATGATGGTTTCTTTGCCCAGTTCAGATAGCGGTGACTCCAGCTCCGAGTCTTCGCATAAGAACAAGGGGCCTCGAATATCCGGCTGTAGAAAATGGGATGAGTTATTTCCTATTCTTCTTTCTTCAAGCATCCCAGACAAATCTCCCTCTGCAGCTTCATGACCTTCTTCGACTTCTGGGGAGGGGGCTGGCTCGCTGCAGGTTATGTGGACTGGGGCTGCTACTGGAGAAGGTGCTTTTCCTGTGGGCAGACTCTCTACTTCAACAACCAGTGGCAGAGAGGTGGGCACTGACGGCTGCTCTAGGACACTGGCTGAGCCCAGCGGTTCAGTTCCTTGGACTGCATCGTGTCTATACTTGGAAAAGATACTCACAAGTATAAGGTGGATCCGGTCAGGATCTGATAGCTTACTGATCAGTGGTAAGATCACATTGCAAGTAATGAGTTCGACTACCATGTGGCGTCCAGTCCTAGTCTCCAGGTGGGGCTTGGGCACTAACTCTTTAAGTAACAAATTCACAATGCCACGTGCATAGGTGACCTCAGTGGTAGGACTGTGCATGGCAGGATGGGGAGGAGTGGCCTGGCAGTACGCATCCCACAGCTGGGAGGGCTGAACTGAACCGTTTTGCTCCCTGGCTGTGGCCTTTTTTGCCTGAATATAGCACTGCAGGTGACAACCACAGAGAGTGAGAACCTTCTGTGTAAGAGCATGGCTGTCCCCTAGGCTCATCCGCCTTTGAAGCTCCTGAACCAGCCCCTTCATGGCTGCCTCCACCACCACCTCGAGTGCTGTATCTTGGCTCACTGAACGATACCAGGATAACACAAAATCACGGATTATCATCTGGATGATGCAGTTAATCTCCTGTTCCAGCTGCCTTTCTGCCTCGGGGCATGGAGGACAGGCGGTGACCGTGATGAATCGTTCCAGGTGCAATTGACCAGAAGCCCCAGCAATGGCACTGGCCCCCAGCCAACCTCCCAGCACCACCAACGATGCCCACAGAAGGATCAGAGGCCACATGTTGACCAGAAGGTGGATGACAAGTAGCCCGCCCAGCAAGACCCCCACAACCATCAGCTTCCGGCTACTCCACAGATTACCGAAGCCACTGCTGGACTCAGGGGTAGCCTCCTGGGTAGGAGACACTGTTTCTGCCTCCATGGCTCAAGGAAGAGATGGTTTCCACAGATGACAGCCACCTATTTTACTTTGGTGCCCGGACTGAGTCCCTGTCCGGAGCGGACTCATTGGGGGTTCCTTCCGACTGCCGCGGTCAGCAGCCACAGCCAGTCCCGGCAGCCCGAGCAACTGCTTTTCGCAGCCCCAAAGCGGTCAAAGCCGCCGGCCGGCCGGCCGTTTACCGGCGACAGCTTCCGGGTCGTGGCCTGCGGGAGCGGGGTACGCTGGGAGAGCGGCCCGGTGGATGCGCGCTACCTGCGCCCCCTGCTGGTGAGGAGCCGTGGTGCCGGCGGGCGCGCACGGGAGTCCGCTGGCCTGAGACCCACAGTCTGGGCTCACCCGGCGCCAAAGACGCTAGAAGTCTTCAGAACCCGGTCAGGCTCTGTAAAGTGTTGTGTGTAAATCTCCCTAGCCGCTGAGGTAAACTTTCACTAATTCAATTTGTTCTAATTCCCTGGGACGCATATTTTTAGTAGCTTCATGGATTTTTGACCTTCTCCCTGCTTCCTCCAGAAATCATTACTTTCGCTCTCTCCTATCAACATACACACCGCCCTTAAGTCCTTAAGTCCTTAAGAGCCTCATTTGTTCTCCGGAGTTGTAAATATAAATACCAAGTCATAGTTGTGATGTGGAGTAGGTTTCTAGTGAGCATTTCCTATGTTCAGTTATTGGATTGGAGAATGGGTCCTTGTGGATCTTGCAGTTAATTGGGGAAATGAGTTTGTTTGACATACATGGATTTCCAGTAAAGCCAGTCTGTGTGGGGCATAGTGAAACGCAAAATCCTGAGTGTATTCAGGAGCAATTTCAGAGAATCGCAGTAGTTAAAGGGAGCCTGTGGAGAAAAGAGCCTTTGTATTGAATCTTGAAGGAAGAAAATTTTCTTTCTCTCCCTTCCGTTTCTTCCCAGATGCATAGGTAAGCGAGGCAGAGATAGAGATGTAGTTTTTTAGGTTATCCTCTAACGCATTTGGTTTGGGATATGCCTATGAGTTTGTTCAGCTTTGAATTCATCTGTCGGTTGTCTACTCAGAAAGACTGACCTACAAAGAGAATCAGTATCTGAAGGCGGTGGGACCCACCATGTGTAGCAGTGTTTGTATCTGTTTTGTAGGGAGTCTGTATAGGTCTCCAACTTAGGAACCATGCCTGCAGTGGGGTTCTCCTTTCTTTTTGGGCACAGATGAATGTCATTTGCACAGTTCTTTGTCATTCTGTCTTCTGTCAGGAGTCATTTACTTCCAAGAGGCTTGAAGGACTCTTCAGGCAAATTCTAACCAAAATACCCTTTACCACCAAGAGGCATATTATAGCTACCTTAGCCTTTTTCACCTTCACCTCTGTGTTGAGGGAATAATTTCACTTGAATGCAAAAGAAACCATCATTTGCAATTGGGTGTAGTTGATGGCGCATCACTTTTAAGGCCAACAATACAATTTAGGATCAGCGTGCCCACTAAACAGGCGAGGCAATCTGTGAAGTCAAAAACCACTGTTTCTCTGCTCACTTCACTGCCACCGTCCTCCCAATGGAAGGGGACATGAGAATGGCATATAACTCCTTATGCTCTCCCAAACCATTCTTTTGTTCTTGGGAAGAGTTGCTTGACAGTAATGTTCTGAAGAAATAAATATCCCTGCTGCCTCGTTGAGAATTACAGCAGAAAATTAAGTGATGGAGGAACCGAAGATGCCATATAAGGCGTCACTATGAAGCTCAGAGAAAAAGTTCCTATTATCACAACATGGAGAGTGCAGGGCAGTAAGGAACTGACCTTGTAAGTGGGCGTTCTGCCACCTGACCAGATGGTCTGGAGTACTGAGATAGCCAAGAGTGTCTTCCTGATTCTGAAGCAGATTTGATGGACATGCCAAAGCACTTGTCGTTTGGATGGCTATGAGCTTCTGCCCGGGGATTTGGGACAGATCTTAGTCTCCAAGCAGATTAATCATTGGGAGGAGGTGAGAGTCATGGTTAGTATAGAACAGTATGTGCACGAGGTGGGGGAGGGTGGCTCGCCACTCACCTCCCCTGCGTCTCTTCTTTCCTTTCTACTTAACTATTTCTCTTAAAGTCATAGTGCTAGAGTATTAGAAATGAGAAGACAGATACCATTCATTCGCCTAAAGGAATCGCCAGTCGAACCAAAGGAGAGATGCAGTAAAGAGGAATGCATTCAAGCATGACGTCATGTTTAAGGTGATGAGACATGACAGTTGCCATAGAAGACAGTTCAGTAAACTGTAAACACAAAGGGTCGGTAGCCACCCGGCACGCAGGGTGGTTCATAGATGTTTACCCCTAAATTTGCAAACAGAAAAGAGGTCAATATGTTTTAGGGAAATATAGACTAGAAAGAATGGGGGCATGTGGAGGGGGGTCTTTTAGTACCATGAGAGCAAAAGGCACTGTGGCAAGAGGCCAGGTTGAAACAAGTCAATACCGTTCCTCACATTTCTCTTAAACACAGAAGACAAGACAGGCTTGATGTTGTGGGCTTGTATTACAAGAAACTTGGGAGCCCGAGGCAGCTGGGCTGAAAGATCTGCCTGGGCTACAGAGTGAGCTCACGGGCAGCCTGAGTGACTTATTAAACCCTATTCAAAAATAAAGAAACAATGCTGCAAGCCTAGGAGTTGTTCAGTGGTCAAATGGTGTCAAACTTCTTGCTTGAATGAAAGCCTTGCATTCAATCTCTGGCCCTATAAACAAAAACAAGAACAATAAACAAGAAGATAAGGGAACTTACTGGAGAGAATTCCAGTAATAGTACAGGGGGGTTCAGAAGGGATAATGGTGTAGAATTATTGCTGGAAAACAGGAAGTAGCGAAATTCATACAAAAGAAATAGAGGGTTGGAGGAATCAACTGAGATCACCAGGCACGAGTCTGTAGTTGTGTTAATATGTATTGTTCAGTTGTTTTCTCATAAGATGATATTGTATCCTCAATGTAGGACAGAGGCAAACTGGATTTGGGTATGTTGCCATGTTGAGATTTTTAGAATAGATAAAGAGAAACAGCAACTGGTTAGAACCTCAACACCCTGAGAAGTGGAGTTCTAAAATTAAAAACCATACTATCTAGGTGCATGGGAAATGAAATAAAGCCATCAGATGGACAATTGGTTGGAAGAATGTGCTTGAGTAGAGTAGGAAAAGTGTATTTGCGAACCAGAAAAAGGCTTCTGATAGGCTAGCGATCCATCTACTGGAGCTTCTTATTACTGATCTGTCAGGTTGCCATGGGCCTCATGGCTAGCAGCATCACAATTTATTCTTGGACACTTTGGGAAGCTAGCAGCCTCAAATGGGTTGGCAAAACTCTGCTCTTCCTGGAGGCCAGAAGCGAGAATGTGCTTTCTAGTCCTTCCCAGTTTCTAGGCAACACCTGTGCTCTCTGGCTCCTGGCCCTGCAATCCTGCTACCTCCACTCCTTGGCATCTGCCGTCACATCTCTCTCCCACCTCTGAACCTCCTGCCTCCTTATAAGGACCTTTGTGATTGCATCAGACCCTCTCTTATATTTCAGAGCTCTCTTCCCATCCCGAGGTCTTCCCATCCCTTCACCACACCTACAAAGTCTCTTTGACCAAGTAAAGCAAAAATGTTCTCAGGATGCATATGCCAGCAAGGAGGATCTCCTAGAAGACACTGGCTAGGGCAGAGCTAAAATGTATATAGATGAAAGCGTTTTGATAGGTAAGTTTGAATGCAGGCTAATAATGGGTTTATTAAGTAAAATATGAGTTAATTATTAGGAATTTGGAATCTTTTTTTTTTTTAAAGATAAGGTATCAAACCCACTTTAAAGCCCACAAACTTGTGATGCTGGTGCCTACACCTCCCAAATACAGGGATTAAGTGTTGTACCGCAGTGCCTGGGTGAGTCTGGGTTTATTAGAAGTGTGACCTAGCTAGGCTTGGAAGTCATCGATTTTAGGATGGAGAGGATTGAGAATGTTGTTACACAAGTTACTAATAAACACTAATGATCAGAAAGTTGCAGATGCTGTAGAAAGTGGAGATGTTAATGCCAGTGGAGACATAAGCAACTTCTTGTAAATTTCAAAGTCAACTGCCTAAAAGAGGCCATGAAAGCCTGGGTGTTGTCCTGGTTCTACCTTGAATGCTGGGTTGGAGAATAAATGGCCACCAGAGGGCAGCAACGAGTGAGGTTGCCTGAGAAATTGCATCTCAGCCACCCATCCTACAAGGACTGCCATAGAAACTGAGAATTTAAAGATGGACTTTAGGGAATGTCTCTTCAGGAATTCACATCTAATGTAGGAAACAGACACCGATGCAGTGTAAAATACTATAGTGGAAATATGTCAAAATATGGGAATGAGGTGGATTAAGGGAATTTATGTAGATGTGGCTTTAGAGCTGGCCTTGAAAGATGAATAAAACTTCCCAGGAAGGCAAGAGGGAACAAGTCATTATAAGAATGAGAAGGACACTTAATTTTTTATAAGTTTTCTAGTACTCACAAGAAAACATTAAAGACTAAGTCTTTTAAACATCAGAATTTGGTTCTTATAATCCTAGACATTGGAAGTGCAAAGTCAAGGCGCTGACATGGTTGGCTCTTCTGAGGGTCTCTCACTGACTTGAAGGTAATAATCATTTTATTGTCTCTTCACAGAGTGCTTGGGCATTCCTGAGTATGCTCAGTCCCTCTATTATTATCTTGTTTAGCTTTAATTACCACTTTAAATATCCAATCTCCAAACACAGCTTCACTCTGAAATATACTGAACAGTGTGGCTGTACAATTTGATTTTTGAAAGGATGCAATTTGATCCTTAACACCTCCTTTCTACCTGGTGGTTATGTGAATGCATGTGTTTCAATTATCAGGATACTGAGTGGAGGCACATAGCTCTGGTAGTTTCCAACATTTCTTTTAATTTCCTAAGATACAGCTCTGGAATTAACTTCTGTGTCTGGCTACACAGACTACTAGGTGCTCTGGTAGGTGCTCCCACTGCAGAACATGCTAGGCACTAAAGGGAGAACACAGTAGCAGATTGATGGCTACGTAAGAGGATGTATAGTAAGCCAGGAAGCTGAACTGCGATATCTAATCTAATCTTGAAATAAAGCAAAGAAACAAATGTTGAGATCAGGGTAGAACTGAGAGTAGTGGATAGTGATCAGATGCGAAGGGAAGGCTGGCCACAGGGAAAGAGGTTCTAAGTAGGACTGCATTTCAATTCAGAGCTTGGTTGTAGCCATGAGAAAGTGGAATTGAGTCTCAGACTTCTAGTTTGAGCCATAATCCTCGAGGGACACTTGAAGAATTTCTAGCTTTAGAACCTTATGAATTAAAGACACAAACCTTTTCTGGGAGAAAGTATTTTCATTTGGAAACTATAAGATAAGAATAACCTTACGATGAACTAAATCTGAACTTTCAGTTTGAGACCATTACGTCTTTGGAAAAGAAAGTGAGGATTGGGGGAACATTTGCAGTGATATGCAGTGAGAATTGGGGGAACGTATTTACAGGACGTGCAGGCTGTAGATACAGAAGTCATCAGATAGTAAGATCTAGGCAAGAACTCCAAAGAAGAACATACAAATAGGACTTAACAAAAACAGAGTGTCAGGATGGTTGTATAGATTCAAAATACAACTGAATAGAATTTCCCTCATTGTGTGACTATGGAAATAAAATAAGATCCTTAACAAGTGTGTTAAATAAATTGTTTAGAAGTAGCTAATTATATAACAATATATTATATATTGTTTAGAAGTAGCTAATAATAAATTATATATATATATATGTAGAGAGAATTATCGATCTAGACCATTTGTTGAAATAAATTGCTTAGACTGTGGCATACAGAGTGGGAAGATAGATGATTAAAGGAGAAATTAAGAGAAATGAAGAACAGAGTAAAAATCTGAATACACTCAGTCGTCCAGCATCTGTTAATAAAGATAGTGGAGGAGAAGGAAACACGTAAGAAGCACTGTGGAGAGAATTTTTTAAAGTTGTGATAAAAGTATAGAACTATAACTTTAAGAAACATTAGTAATCTAAACAAGATCAATAAAACCAAAGGGTGATTGTTGTAAAAATCAAGGGAAATTGACTTTGGTTTAAAAAGAAAGATAATAAACAACATTAAGTCTATAAAAGATATATAATTACAGACATAGAAGAACTTAATAATTCAACTACATGATAGTAATTTTAAAGTAGAGAAATATTGGACAATTAAAAACCTCAAAATAACCCCAAGAAGCACTGGTGTGACTGGATAGATCTCCATTTATTATGAAATTAAATAACTTTGTAAAAGTTTATGGCTAGGTCATCCTATTACTTACTCTTTCCAACTAATTTCAAATAGAATGGGTCAAATCAAATAAGAATTTTCAGAGGATAAAGGGCACATGTTTTATAGCCTGGGAACATATTAGAAGTTTGAAGTAAAAACTGGACAAGGAAGAAAATCTAGAGACAATGCATTGTTTCTGCATTGTTCTGGACGGATAAACATCCACAGTTATCAGCTGACCAGGTTCCGAGTTGTGGGCATGAACTACATGTATAAAGATTACTCTCATCAGTTGCCACAGTAAGGGGGAATCCTTATGCTATGTCAAAAGATTCAATACTAGCATTTAAATAATATTCAATATCTGTTCATGATTTCAAGTAAACACAAAGAACCTGCCTAGAGAATTCCTCCCAGTAAGCATCTGAATGGGTGATATTGGGAGCACCTTTCCCCATTCATTATTTTCTTATGTTGAGGTGCAATTGACAGGCACATTTCAATGAGTTAAGTGCAAAGCTTAATGCATTTTGGCACACATATTGGCATACATAGATATTCTCTAAACAAAATTCACAAAGACAACCAACAGATCTGCCATCTTGCTGTCTATCAGCATTTTTCCTGAAATATATGCAAATATAGCCACTCATGATTCACTTTCTTTGTGCTTGACTTTTCTTTCTTGGCATAATTATTATTTGGAGAGTCACCCATGTTGTTTGATCAACACTTTATGCCTTTGATAATTATGTAGTATTCCACTGCATAGACATGGTAATGTGTTTCTCTTACCTGTGTGTGGATGATTGCTTTCTGGTTTGGGTTGTTACAAATGAAGCTGGTGTGTTGCAAGTATATGAGTGTTTCAATAAAACTGTCCTTTCATTTCTCTTGAACAAATAGCTACTAAAATAATGCCTGGGTTATGGCAGGTGCACGGTAAAGTTTATAAACTGTCTTCAAAACAAGTTTTACAGTTTTGTGTTCCCACAAGAAGCCTGAGAGGATTCCAGGGTTCTTTATTTTCCTTTCCTTTCCTTTCCTTTCCTTTCCTTTCCTTTCCTTTCCTT